GGGGGGTGCAAATCGAAAATTGAAAGTTTGTCCCCGGGAAAGGTCGCTACGCCTCTGGGGGTGACACCATTAAGTGCCGCAGTTGGTGACACCCGACCTCGCAACGCCACTGCATGTACATATGGGTTTTGTTTAGTATATTTATGTAGGTCTTGGTTGGATGGATTGTTTGTGGCTATCTGTGCAGCATTAACTTAATAATAATAATAACAATAATAATAAAAGTAATGATAGTTGTAATAATAATAATAATAATAATAATCATTAATAATATTCATATTTGTAATCGTAACGTAATCGTAATCGTAATCGTAATCACAATCACAATCACAATCGCAATCACAATCACAACCACAACCACAACCACAATCACAATCACAATCACAACCACAACCACAACCACAATCACAATCACAACCAACCGAACAACAGTCTCCAACAAAAATCACAATCAAAATCAGACACACACACACACACACATACACACAGACATACGGACAGACTTGCAAAGTCCCGTTTTTTCCGACTCGATTACGCATAAAACGCCAACATTTTAATATATCTGGATTTATAATTTTTGCCAGATTAAAATAAGTCCTCTATACTCCGGATGTGAAGAAGGAGTGATTTGTAAATTGCTGAAAACTGTCAAAATTTCAAGTGATTTTTGTGCACGACTACAATATTTTTTCTATACTCTGTATATGAGAAAGTAAAAAAAAAATAAAGCGTATTAATTAAATAATTTTTTTTCTGAACAGACGTTACAGAAGACGTCAATATAAATAAGGCAAGATTTATTGCCCCATTGACCAATCGTCGACGTAAACGCCAGACAAAACCCGACTACTACATTGACGTGGTTGCTATGGTAGACTTTGGCTGCTGGAAGATCTTCCTCGCTAAAGCTGCGTCTGTGAGGGATGACGCCATCAGCAACATACAGAAATATTTTTCTTTGATTTTCAATGGGGTGAGCATATGGCTAATGCATTCTATCTCACTAACACTTTGTTTCGCAACAAACGTGGGCTTGTCAATAACGTGTATCGTGTTTTCGTGTTTTCGTGATAGTCTCATTCCCAGTGGTGAAATTTGAATCCTAATATATAAAAGCCAATGTGCGCACTTCTTTCTCTCTCTCTCTCTCTCTCTCTCTCTCTCTCTCTCTCTCTCTCTTTCTCTCTCTCTCTAAATATATATATATATATATATATATATATATATATATATATATATATATATATATATATATTACTATATGTATAAGGGTGTATGCGTATTTATATGTGTAGACTTGCGGAAATACATATATGATTTATATATAAGTGCTCACTATTACTTTCTGATTCTCTAGGTTGATAGCTTGTATCATAGCATAACTACAACCAACTTCATTCTAAACGTTAGACTGAAAAAAATCATTATCTGTGAGGTAAGTCTAAACACCATAAAACTAGAAAAATGTTTAACTGATATATTTTTTTCATACTTATACATTCACCAAAACCTAAAAGCTAAAGGCAAACAAATACACACATAAAACAATCTTGTATTGAAATCATAAGTTAGGGACACTTTTGAACTATAGAAAATTTGCATTTTATTACATAGACAAGGAACTAACAAAATTTACTAGCTCGTAAACGTGAAATAACATTAGTAGGTGGTTATTAATATTGTCTTCTCCTATGCATTAGCTTGGTTTAAGTTGACTTTATTACAGCTAATAAAATCAGAAACCTCTGTTTATAAGTAGGCTACTTGTCCTAGTTCTTTAGAATATGATTAGAATATCATACATTTTTAATTTTTACAAACTTGTTCAGTTGTTGTTAATATATATATATATATATATATATATATATATATATATATATATATATATATATATATATATATATATATATATATATAAAGCAATGTCTGTGTGTCTGTGTATCTTTTATGCATTAACACAGCTCTTATCACATCGCCGTCGAACTTTGGGAAGTTATTAAGAATATTCCTCTGGAGGTTTCTGCGGGGAAAAAAATTTCAAATCCGCAGTGGTGGCGCCCCTGCGGGGCGCGATTTTTTTTCCTCAATATACGATATATTAAAATAACAGTCGATTTTGATTTGACACCGTTCAACCGACAGGCATGAAACTGTGGGGAGTTCATTATAACACTCTAGAGAAGGGTTCTGTAAAAAAAAAATCATTTTTTATTTCGCAAGGGCGGCGCCACGGGAGGGTACGATTTTTCTCTATATACGGTATATAAAAATAACAAAAGTGAAGTGCAGTGACACCGTTCATCCGATAGGCATGAAACTTTGGGAAGATGTTGAGAATTTTCATGGGGAGGTTTCTGCGCTAAAAACATTTTCAAATTTGCAGACATCCGATGCATCACCATTCACAAACAACGCGACAACACTTGCTGAAAACTACGTGGACGGCTATGCTGGACTGAGTATTTTGGCTGACTACGTTAAGTCCAATGAGGAGGCTCTATTTATACCATATGACCATGTCATGTTGTTTATCGGGTAAATTATATATATATATATATATATATATATATATATATATATATATATATATATATATATTTATTTATATATATATATATGTATATATATATATATATATATATATATATATATATATATATATATATATGTTGGTGACCAATGCTTTTATTGAATAAATTATCATGTAGTGAACTGGCCCGCTGTTCTACTGGACATAAATCGCAGTGGGTTCCCCTGCCACGTTAAAGTACTAGACATATAACAAGTTTGATTAATTAGTAATAATAAAATGTTGCGTCAATTTCCATTAAGCTGAGAATGATTATCTGGAATTGATGGGGATAAAAAAAATTGGACTTTGGATTTGATGGCACATTTTCAAATTTTACAGTCACTACTGAAATTATCTTATTTTACTGCATTAAATGCTTTATGTCAATAAGGTGTTTTTAATGCTTATTTTACTTTTTTCTGTCGTAGATACAATTTAACCAATCCAAATCGCAGTGCCGATCTACTAGGTAAGTGAAAATTGAAAGTTCTCTTTTTTCTAGTTTAACTTCTTTTATAGAAGTGATATTTCAACGCCGAGCGTAGACAAAGGTACAGAATATAGTACAAGTAACGGCAGAACAGTCAGAACCCAACGGGATCCCCCACGGCACCAAATCGCCTCGCCTTCCATGCATCAAGTCAGACGTGTAACCACTGCTTCCAATCAGCTCTACAAAAATAGAGCTTTCATGACAGACTACTATTACAACTTGTGCACAGAAGACGCGGACTGGCTTGATCTCTGAACCCCGAAGGGTCTGACCGCTAGTCTCATAAACACAGCAAGGACTATTATTCGACCACACAGGCGATACAAATACAGGGACGACGATACAGACAAATAGTACCTTCCTTAAATGGGTATAGTGTAAACATGTAGAGGGGGTGGAAGCAGGCGTTGTAACTGAAATAGTTACAACGCCTGCTTCCACCCCCTCTACAATTTAGAACTATAGACTCTTGTGAAGATATCTAGCTATTACACAGAATTTTATATTGTCTATTTGGAGTTATTTGTCTTTTATGAATATGTTTAATTAATTAATATACTTTAAAACTGGTACGTGGTACGTTTTTTTTTTTAGTGAAGCATATGCATATTCAATGGTACGTCGTGACCTAGCTGTAGAGCCCTAGACTTCTAAGTCTCGAGTTCGTATCTGGGTTTAAGTAAATGAAACGTCCCTGAATTACCCAGCTATGATGGGTACCCAACTCACATTAGGGAAAGTAAAGGCGACAGGGCAAAGTGCTGACCACATTAACCTTTATATGCCGAGGAGAAAAAAAACATGAAATCTACTTCTTTTGTCTAATGGACAGTTAGTTCTAAAGAGGAGTCTTTACTTACATGCATATTTTATAAAAACATGAGAAAATATAAATATAACTTTGGTTGTTGAACCCTGTTTTAGGTCGAGCGTACAGGGGTTATACCTGTACTGCTGGTGGTTGGAGCACTTCAGTTGTTGAAGAAATGGGGGGTTACTCTTCCATACATACAGCAGCCCACGAGCTAGGACATGGGTAAGTGATTTCATAGTTTAATCCTTGTGTAGTGTTTTCCATTTGTTCAACACCGGTGACGCAGTTGGCGGATATACGATTTTAGCCTTTGTGTACTTCCAGGCATCTGAGAGTAGTATATTAGGTCCCTTTTGGGTAGTATCCGCAGGCGCAGGCGCAGGGGGATGGGGAGGTGGAGGTTGAGCAGGAGCAAAGGCTATATAGGAAAATACTCCCCGCCTGGGGGAGGCGGAGGGGCAATGACATATAGCAAAATACTCCCCCACCTGGCGGTGGTGGGTGAGCCGGTTGGCCAACGAGATATAGTAAAATACTCACTGGGGGAGGTGGAGGTACAACTACAGATAGTAAAATACTCACCCACCTGGGTGAAGGTGGGTTAGGGTGGGTGAGCCGGATGGACAATGAGATATAGTAAAATACTCCCCCACCTGGGTGAGCAGGATGCGGAGGTGGGTGAGCAGGATGGACAATGAGATATAGTAAAATACTCCCCCACCCTAGGTGGTGTAATCACCACCGGTGACCTTGTGACGTAATTTTAATGAGTTTTAATGAGTTTTTTAATTAGTTTGAATTGAATTTTTAAATTTTAATTAATTTTTATTAACTAGTTACGTAATTTGATTATTTGTTTGATTTCTTAAATTAGTTAGTTAATTAGTTAACTCGGTTGAATAAAAATGTATTTAAATATATAGAGTTATAGAACCTTAAAGTTAACAGATGATGAAAAAATAAAATTAAAAAATTAAAATTAAAATCCACCTCCTCACCCACCTCACTCAGGTGGTGGAGTCTTTTACTATATATCCTTTACTCCTACTCCTGTTTCCCCTTCACCCACCTGCTCACCCTTCAACCACCAGTTCACCCTTCACCCGCCTGCTCACACCCCTCACCCATGTTACTATAATCGAATATGTAATGAACACTTGTTAAGTTTACACCGTGATATTTTAAAAGCCTTTGATGACTTGGAAAAAACGTTAATAAATAAATAAAATATAAGAAGCCTTTTGTTTTAATTTTAGAGTGTGTGTGTGTGTGTGTGTGTGTGTGTGTGTGTGAATGTGTATACTTTTAGCATGATAGAAAAAGAAAACCTTAAAACAAGGTAATGAAAAAAGTCCGGGAGCCACCGTTAAGTGTGGCGCCCAACACACGGGCTCGACGCGGGTCGATCAACCTTATTTCTTTAATCGATCAAAAAACCTATGACACTCTACGTATAACTGTTAGTGGAAAGTGCGGTACCAGCTGTCGCCTGTTGGCTAATGAATCGCTGAAAAGCACTTAATGGAATCGATTAATTACCAGACCCCCTGGTGTGGTCGCTTCAGTGAACCCGACAGAAATCAAACTGAGCTGTCAAAGCACCTCTCGAAAAGAAAGGTTCGCTGGTGAATCGATAAGTAACAGCTGTCGCTAATGAGTAACAGGTGTCGCTAATCGTTACCTTTATTGAATGTTCTATTTTTGTAAACGTTAGCGTTGTGTTGGAGAATATAAAGCAACATACAAAGAAAATGAATTTCAAACAAAAAAACAACATACAAACAACAATTAAACCAAACAAATAAACAAATTAAAATTGAAAATTGAAAATTAAAAAAATAAATTAAAAATTTTAAAATAAAAAAAAATTCAAACTCATTAAATATAATAATTAAACTAATTAAAAATAAATAAACAACAATTAAACTAATTAAAATTAATTAAAATTTAAAATTTAAATTTAAAAATTTAAAAATTTAAATAATTAAAATCAAATTTAAATTTAAAAAATCAAACTAATTACGTAATTAAAGTAAAAAACAAAATAAAAATCAAACTAATTAAAAACAAACAAAATTAAAATTAAAAAAAATTAAAATTACGTAACTAGTCAATAAAAATTACAAAATATAAACCAAATAATTAAATTAAAATCTAACTAATTTAAGAAATCATACAAATAATCAAATTACGTAACTAGTTAATAAAAATTAATTAAAATTTAAAAATTCAATTCAAACTAATTAAAAAAACTCATTAAAACTCATTAAAATTACGTCACAAGGTCACCGGTGATGATTACGTCACAAGGTCACCCCCACCACCTAGGGTGGGGGAGTATTTTACTATATCTCATTGTCCATCCTGCTCACCCACCTCCGCATCCTGCTCACCCAGGTGGGGGAGTATTTTACTATCTGTAGTTGTACCTCCACCTCCCCCAGGGAGTATTTTACTATATCTCGTTGTCCAACCGGCTCACCCACCACCGCCAGGTGGGGGAGTATTTTGCTATATGTCATTGTCCCTCCGCCTCCCCCAGGCGGGGAGAATTTTCCTATATAGCCTTTGCTCTTGCTCAACCTCCACCTCCCCATCCCCCTGCGCCTGCGCCTGCGGATACTACTCAAAAGGGACCTAATATACTACTTCTGAGCCCCCCCCCCGACGGAAATTGTAGTCCCCCCCCCCCCCCCCCAAAGTTTCAAGTGCCCCCTGGAGGAAAAAGTCTGGAAGAAACACTGTTTGTGTATTATGGAATATAAGCCCATCATATTTTTGTAAACTAAGTAATACTAATTTCTGTATTTAACAAAACAATTTATCACAAAGTTAACGTCTTTCTTTCGTATCAATTTACCTGTTTGATCCAAGAAATTGTTTATATTCATTTCTAAGCTACTGAATCAAGACTGCTAAAGTATATTTTTTTACCATTTTATCCAAATAAATCCAAATTGAGTCTAATAATGTGTCTTATAAAACTGACAAGAATTTTTTGTTTAAATAAATGTGTTAACAAATGTGACCATGTCATCAGTCATCATTAACTGTTTACTATTTTATTGTTAACCAGCTTATCGTCAAACCATGACGGAGATGGCAATACATGCTATAGCACTGACCGTTACATAATGGCGAGTTCGCGTAACTACACAGAGACGCCAGAGACAAAGCTTAACCCTTGGAAGTTCTCGACCTGCAGTGCCAGTTACTTCAGCGGATATGTCTCCACGCTCTTGCAGACTGAGTAATTTATACATTTCGTATCAAAGATTTGACATTCTTCACAGTACCATTTTTTTCTCATTCTCATTTATTTCATATTTAATCTCCCTAGGGCAGGGGTCGGCAACCCGCGGCTTGCGAATATTTTCGAATATCTTTCAATAATTAATGTTATTTTATTGAGATTGCATTTCTTTATATGTCAGAATGCATAAATTTGATCCGAGTGACGTAGTTTTTTAGTTGTATTATACTTAGGGGTGTAAACGTATTTAATTTAAATTTATTCACATAATCTTATTCAAATACCAAATATTGAAATAAAAATGTTAGTGGCTCTTTGAGAAATCGGAAATTTCATACATTGTAACATTCCGCTCTTCGGTTTCGAAAGTTTGCCGACCCCTGTCCTAGGGCTCATCAGGTGTGTATTGATAGGGGGCTTAAAGTTTCCCTTTCAAACCTGACGGTCTATGGGGCAAGTGAAGTAGAGTTCACTTGTTTCTGTGATCTCGGCATATGAAGAGATAGTGTGGTCAGCACTATGCCCAGCCGCTTTTACTTTCAGAGTTGGGTGGACTCAGGGACGGTCTAATGGTTTAACATTTTTTTAAAATTTCGTCTTCTGCAGGGAGGGGGGGGGGGTATTTCCGAAGAGATGCCTAGAAACATTTGGCATCTCTTCGTCGGGAAGAAAGTGGGGGGGGGGAGCCGTGGTCGAGTAGGTAAAGCTCATGGTTTCTAAACCAAAATGTCTCTAGTTGGGACCTCGGGCAGATGAGGCTCGATAGCTGGAGACAGAAACTCTTCTACGAGAGACAACTCCGAAATCAAATAACTGCTGCCTTGTAGCTTGTTCTTGGTTCAACAAAGACTATGGAAGCAAATCCAAAAAGAAGAGCAGGCTGAAATCGGATTCAATGGCCTCGATGGCGCATAACCAGTTGACACGTAATCCTTAATTGTGATGGAAGCATGGTCGAGTCGGCAAAGCTCATGGTTGTTATTTTGAAAAAGGAAGTTGACACGTAATACTAAATAGGCTTGAATAGTCTATGTATTCAAACAAATTGTTTTAAATATGTCAAGCGATAAAATTATAGTTAACTTTTTTTGTTTTTAAAAGCCGTTTTAGGAACTATCGATTACACTCATTTCCATGTTTTTAAATTAAATATAAGACGTTGAAAAGCCGTTTAGAAATTTTTTTAAAAGTTTAAATATTTAAAAAAAAACGCTCTTAACCCCCTCTTTGAAGTCAACCGGAGTGGCCAAGCAAAGTAAAACAATGAAAATCACATAATAGCGGTTAATTGGTTATAGCCTAGTAGTTTATTTTTATTTAAATTATTTAGCATCCCCTTTCACCATAACACCGTGAATCTACTAATCCAAATTTTAAAAAAATGTCTTAGTTAAATTACTATTATATTATTAGTAATTATTTGTTGGAACCAAAAGGAACCAGCTTTTAAGCCTATTGTGTTGGAGGAAATCTCTTCCATCACTAGAACTAAGAACGAAAAGAAAAAACAACAAGAAAACTAGACCTATTATATGGCTCGTCTTTAATATCTGCCTACGCTTGATTTCATTGCGCAATTTTCTAATGGTCTAACAGACATTTTTTTTTAATGTTAAAGAATACGATTTTAAAAAAAGCTTAATTATAGAAATGTTGTTATTAGCTCTAGACTTAAACATTATTAAAACCTTAAAAATTATCAATTTATTTTCAAATACGGAAATGTCAGTGATATGGTTTTCTCGTATAACTCATTTATTATGACCAGTACATGAGGTTATAACATTGAAATTTGTGCCAGTGAAATTAGAATATGTATTCTGTTTTGTTAGAAATAAATGTCTTCGTTTCTATCAAAGCACAAAACATTTTTAAAGTTTTTTTTTATGTTGCTGTATATTCCTTGTTTAATAATTTTGTTTATTTTAAAATTAATTATTGCATTTGATCTTTAATGAATTGAATTTTTTTAAATGCGGTTTACTTCTTAAAATATAAAAACGATTTTTTTTTTCCTTTTTAGGACGGGTACGAATTGTCTGACAACTCTACTCAGTAAAGACCCTCAGATTCCAGACACATCCGGTCAACTTCAACTGTTGGGTCAGCGCTATCCGCCATCAGAGCAGTGTGTCATGCTATATGGGAACAATTCTTATGACTGTAGGGTAAGCACAAATCACATGGAGCAATTTTTTAGTGACTGAACTAAATGTAATAGGTTATCAAAACTATTGTTTGAAAATTCTTGGTAGTTTTTTTATGTTTTGAACAGATTATCTCAAATGCACATAGATGTAACACTTTAGCCATTGTTTTTTTTTTAAAGTATGCACCAATCTATCTTAAGTAAGTTCACTTTAAAAATGGATTATGTGCCCAAAATACTATAATGTTCTTACATAAAGTTGTTGATGAAAGACATGAGTGTACTTTAATCATCCTTTTTAATAGGTAGAACACGGCTCGATGACTGTGTTGTGGGACGCCCATGAGAGCCACCGGCTACATAACCGCAACGGCGCCGGGTCCTACCCCTGTCATTTTTATCATCGAATATCGTGTGCCACCGTGTCAGTATTGTAGGAAGCTCTTTTAAACCAAACGTAGCGCTCTCTGGATAGCTTGAGGCGCCAAATCGCACCCCTATCGGGGCGCCGCCCTTTCCGCCCTTGATTAAACTACGAAAAGTACAAACACTAATGTCATAATTGATTGTAAGACAGTAACAGTAGCGTAGCAAGGGGGGGGGGGCGGGGGCGGACATGTCTCCGGGCGCCGACCTTAGGGGGCGCCAAAATGGGTTGGAAAAATAAATTAAAAGGTCGAGGGGGGTGCAAATCGAAATCTTCAGGGGGGGGGGATGCAAATCGTAATCTTGAGGGGGGGGGGTGCAAATCGAAATCTTGAGGAGAGGGTGCAAATCGTAAAGTTTGTCCCCGGGCGCCGGGAAGGGTCGCTACGCCTCTGGACAGTAATAGAATTAAACATCGAATGTCGTAAATGATACACAATACTAATGACGTTATCTTCAGTTAGATTCGCTCCCTACATCTTCCAGTTTTAGAAATGAAGAAATGAACTATTTCTTTCAAATTTTATTTAAATCTACTTATCAAAACGTACGTTATGAAATTTATAAAATTTTCTCAATCAAAACGAATAAAAATAACTTTAAAATACCATAGGTTATCAAGCGATTGTTTGAAAATTGTGTGTAGATTTTTAACAGATTATCTCTAATGTCTATAGAAGTCACACTTTAACCGTTGTTTTTTTTAATTATGTAAATGTAAGTAGTAATCTTTTTTTAGTAAATTCACTTTTAAGCCATTTGTTATTTCTTTGTTTTGTCGCTAATATTATTCAACGTGTAGTAAAGCACATACTGTCTTGACCAATATATATTATATAATTTATTTTTCTCAAACATGTATAAAATTAAAAATATATAGATTAAATATTGGTCATATTAATGCTATTATTGTATGAAAAACAGAGCAAGCCTAAGCGGCCCTGCTGGTTGTAACGAATATATATATATATATATATATGTATATATCTATAACTACTGTTTCAGACTAAAAGTGCCAGTGAATACTGTAGGTATTTGACCTGTCAAAACCCTTTAGATCAGACGCGGTGTCACATCAGGTATGCCTTAGAGGGGACGTCGTGTGGTAGTGGAAAGGTACGTGCTTGTTTCACTTCAATTTGAGCGAAGTCTTTTTATGTTAATATTTTTTTTGTACTTCAATAACAATTACAATTTTCCATCATTAATTATGTCAGGTTTGTTTTTGGGAGGGGTGGGGTTAATTAAAACTGACAATAACAGCTTTTGTAAATAAAGTAGAATGTGTTTCGTTTTTTTTTTACTCTTCTTAAAGCTAAATTACAAATCGTTCAATCTGAAAATAAAACCCAGGATATATTTTTTTAACGAATATCACGACTTATTTTGTACTGTTCAGTTTTAGTTTAATTATTTTAGATATTTCCTTACTGGAGAAATAGAAATAAACGTCAATGTTTTTGTTGTAGTTTTAAACAAGTAAAATTAAAGTAGTGTAGTCTGCGTGAATTTAAAAAGTTTTTCAATTAATAGTTTTGTAAGGGAGGCGACTGTGTGACCGACGCTGCAGCCCCTACAGTTGACGGTAAGATAGGACATTACTTCCCTTTTTAATATATGTATGAAAGAGATATTTGCGATTAAAAAAAGGACTTACGCATTTCAGGTATGGGGGGGGGGGGGCGGATAATTCATATAATTTGTAAAGCAAGATTTTTACAATTTATCGCCCCAAATCATACAACATAAAGTTAAATTCATTTTACTTTCAATAATCTTAATCCCCCACACGAATGCACGCACGCACACACGCACGCATAAACATACACACAACATGCAAAGTAAATAGCAATTTTAAGACGACATATTAAGTCCATGTAGTTTAAATTAACTTGGGAGCTTGACGTTTTCCAGAAAGACACTTGCTCGTATTCCGTTTGTCTGAAGGCTGTTTTCCGAATGGGACAAATGCCCGAAAGTCACTTGCTCGCCGGCCGTCTGTTTAAAAATATGTAATATTATAGATTACTATCCATACATTCAAAATAAATTTTAATTAAACATGTTAACCATTCTAAGCAAAATTCTTACAGTTCTAAGCAGAACATTTATAAACAGAAGCTTTTATTGGTGAGTGTTTGCGGCTGTTGTATCATATTTATGACGCGGTGTAAGCGGTGTTGCGTCTCGGAACATTAAGAGAATACTTTTTGTTGGATTCTGCCTATGTTGTGGGGTGATCATTTCAATAAAGAAAAACGTGCAGTCTTGACGGCGAATTTTAAAATATTACATGGAATCGTTTATTTTAATCTCCATTATAAGCACTTTTTATAGGATGTGTTAAAGACATTATCACATAATAAAGAACTAGAGATTCATTTTATAAATCAGAGATAAAACGGTATATATTTTTGCTTCTTAGGAAAAAATGTTATTAGTACACTACATAGAATGCAAATACAAATGCATTTATTTATCTTGGTAATTTAAATACCAGCGTGCCAATCCCCGCTGCTATGCCACAGTCTCGAAAGAAAGTCCGACTCAATATTTAAAATGGGTATACCTATACTACCGCCCAGCACACACCAGAACGTGGTGTGTGAAAAAGCCTTAAGTGTACGTTAATTGCTATCGTGATAGTGAGGTAGAGCACACTTATCGACCTCCCAGGTGCCTGGGATGTAGAGGGACGCTCTCGGAAGAACCCGGCTGCCTTGCCGATTGGTTGGTTTATTAACCAAATGTCGTGTGACACGGTGTCAATATTGTAGGGTAATCTTTAAAACGAACATTGGCGCCATTGCACTCAAGGAAAGCCTGGGCAAGTGTACATTCGGAAAAACGGCCTTCGGGCAAATGTACATTCGTGACAACGGCATTCGGGCAAGAGTTCATTCGGGAAAACGGCATTCGGGCAAATGTACATTCGTGACAACGGCATTCGGGCTAGTGTACATTCAGGAAAACGGCATTCGGGCAAGTGTACATTCAGGAAAACGGCATTCGGGCATGTGTTTTTCGGAATTTTTCGTAGACCCCAAACTGCATAAAAGTAACAATACAACACCCCCTCCCGGCTTGAGTCCAATTGGTAAAACTGTTCATATTCTGTTATTCAATGTGATTATTTATTGACTGAACTAGAAATGTTTTCTTCTCTCACTTTAATTTTAATACAGTATTCGCATTGTAAATTTAAAAAATAGCGGTAATTTTAAAACATTATATTATATCCTAAAGCAGTTATATACCAGGGTTTAAGTAGGCACATTTATATATCTACAATAACCTATCATTTTTTTTTCATTTTAAAGTACACACCTAACTTCCCCTATTCATTAAGGTATAAGAATATTATTTTAAAGTATAGTTTCATTTTATTATTTTTTAAATTGCAATTAGCGAAACGATAATGCCTTGTCTTTTTTTTTTCAACCATGGCGTTCCTGACTCCATTGCGCATGCATGTAGAAGAATGTGTGTTTGGAGATGAGACACGGAAGAAATTTTCTGAGTATGAGAACAAAACGTGTGCTACCCTTGTACAGGCAGATAAAAGATATTGCTATCAAGAATACGTTTTTAAGTTCTGCTGCGCTACCTGCAAATCTGTGAAAAGAAACGTGCCAGGTGGGTGAATATAAAAGCAATGACGTCACAAGGTCGGATGCCGCATAATGCGTTCTTAGCCCATGTCATCAATTTCGCATTTTGCGTCTGGTGTCGACCGTCCACCTTACTATTTTATTATTTTAACAGGTTAAAAAAAAAACTGTAAATATTACGATTTCTTAATTTGGTGTCATCCGCGCGGACAGCTACTACCGCCAGAGGCGTAGCGAGGGGGGGGGAGGGGTGCGGACCGCACCGCGTGACCATTTAGGGGGGTAACACCAAGGGAAAAAATAGCAAAATATATGGAGAAAAATTTGAGGGGGGTGCAAATCGAAAGTTTGAAAGTTTGTCCCCGGAAGGGTCGCTACCCTTCTGGGGGTGTGACACCATTAATTCCGCACCGGGTGACACCCGACCTCGCTACGCCACTGACTACCGCCCATTCGTTGTGATCCTACTGAGTTTAATACAAAATGCGCACATATTACACTATTGCTGTTAAGTCAAATAAATTATGGCCACTAGTTGAGGAGAAATTAGCTCCTTGAGGAATCTAGATTGTTTTATGGCTAGTGCGAACGAGCGGTATGTACCGACATGACACATGTTTTTATCTGATATCGGGACGGCGTGGTCTAGCGATACAACAATAGCTTAATGCCCCAAATGTCAAAAGTTCGAACATAATGCACAAGCGGTGAAGCATACTACAGGTGGAAAACCCAGAGGCGTAGCGAGGGGGGGGGCGGGGGGGGGGGGGAAGACATGTCCCCGGGCGCCGACCTTAGGGGGCGCCAAAATGGGTTGGAAAAACAAATTGAAAGTTTGAAGGGGGGTGGAAACCGAAAGTTTAAGGGGGGGGGGGTGCAAATTGAAAGTTTGTCCCCGGGCAAGGTCGCTATGCCTCTGCCCACATGTCTAACAGTTGTCAACTTGGGTGAGAGAAATGTTCGTTTTTTTTTACCCTGATTAAGTTAGTCTGGCTAATGAAAATTGATTTGCGTAAAAGATATTATAAGGGTGAAAGTTAAAGACAGACTGACAACCAACAAGAAAAGAAACAGCGCATGGGCATATTTCTGATTTGTATTACTTTCTCGGCTATCCCTGAAATGGTATACTTCATTATCTATGCAGGCTAGAATCTCCCGATTATATGGGTAATTCTCTGTGTATTATAAAATTTAATGTTATAGGTAAACCTGTAATGCTATCTTTTTTGATAATTAATTTGTTGTAATCTTTGACTGAATAAATGTATGTTGTGGAAAAGTGCCCAGTATGTTACAACCCGATCCGCTCTGCAATATTTTTCAGGGTGTGAATATGGAGATAAGATCAGCGCATGCGTGGTAAATTATTGTAGCACCCAGACAAACTTACCCATCTGCTGTGAGACGTGCAACTACACGGCACCAACTACAACAATGGTTACAACGACGCTTGCGTCATTCGTTGATACAAGCACCATGACATCCGCATCAACGTTGTCTCAAACTCCAACAACAGTTTCTTCAACGTCATCGACGCCATCAACAGTTGTACCAACAGCATCGACATCAACACTAGTATCAAAATCACCAGTACCAACAGTATCAACTTCAGCTGTATTCTCTACTGCGACGACGGCGGCTACAACATTTTCAACAGACGAAAATACAATTACACAAAGAGTTACAATTACTGGTAATTATATGGTCAACATATTTACTTCGGAACTAAAAACATGTTTCCATTTGGCCGACTAATCTGATAAACATTCCTGATTTAAGCAAATAATAAATTTTTACATTATATATAGGCATATATATATATATATATATATATATATATATATATATATATATATATATATATATATATATAGGCCTATATTTTCATATTATATATAGTCATATATATATATATATATATATATATATATATATATATATATATATATATATATATATATATATATATATATATATATATATATATATATATATACAACCATTGTTTCTTTATATATTTAAGATATAAAAGACACCCATGCACCCAAATAAATCCTCAAATAATGATCCCAACCTATGTTATTACTTTCTTAAGCCTTGGGAAGCATATACTTCTGCTATTCACATATCTCTGTTCTTACTTATGTGAGAAGCCCAAATGCATATATATATATATATATATATATATATATATATATATATATATATATATATATATATATATATATATATATATATATATATATATTATATCTTAAATATATAAAGAAACAATGGTTGTATATATATATATATATATATATATATATATAGAGAGAGAGAGAGAGAGAGAGACAGAGAGAGAGAGAGAGAGAGAGAGAGAGAGAGAGAGGGGGGTGTATGTGTGGGCGTGTATGTGTGGGCGTGTATGTTTATTTATGAGTGCGTTAATTTCGAGTGTAAAATTTTCTCTAAACTTTGGACTAGAAGTACTCCACAAAGTTGGCTTACCACTCCAATCCAAACCAAAACAACGTTCCACAAAATGTTATTTAACCAATATGAAGCATAAACAATATTTGTAACTCCTTATCCTCAGGTTGTGAGTACGGCGACCGTAAACCCACCGCATGCGCACTGGTCAACGCCTGTCAGACCACACCAGAACTATGCTGTCAAACATGTGACTTGGGCAGACAAACTGCTAGCGTCAACACCCTTAGTGTTGTTTCTGCCGGGATCTTCTTGTTTGTTGTTCATATTGTAACTCCCGTATGTTGAACATCTATTGCTGAGCTATTATCAGTCGAATGTCTTAAGCTATTTGAATACGTGTGTATAAGTGTATGTGTATACTGTGTGTGTGAAAGTTCTATTTTAACCTATTAAATTAGTGACATTTTAGTTTACTGTCATATTTTTATTTTACTTGATGAACTTGTATTTTATTGACATATCCTTTACTTTACTAGGTTCATTTTTTTCATTGTCATATTTTTTACTTTATATAGTGAAATTGTATTGTATACAAGACCACCTGTCATCCTTTGGATAACTGGTTTCGTGGCTCATCCATAAATGACATCACGTCTGTCACTTTATATCTTCACAAACAACCAGACCCCAAATTAAAAAAGACATGATTTCAACATGAGCTTGGGTCTGACCACGCTATCCCTACATATGCTGTGGTCACAAAAACATGTCAACTCTACTTTACCGGCCCAGTGACCCCCGCCCCCCTCTTCCCCAAATCAGACATATATTTTCATCTTTTGAAAAAAACGATTTCGGCTGAGCATGGGTCTGATCACATTATCCCTTCATATGCTGACGTCACAGTTGAACACTACACCTACCCAATTGTACCTCACCTGCCCAGTGTCCCGCCAAGTTCCGATATGCAACTTTATCATTAAAATCTAAAAATAATGAAAAAAAAATAACAATGACATGATGTGTCTCGAACTCATGTTTTCCCCAAGGTAACCTATTAAACTAACGTCTTAGCTAACTAGGCTCTTTATAATGGTAATAGCCCTTGTGTTATTTCAAATTAAATTGTATCCCAAATTAGCCAACTCCACAGCCAAACAAAGATTTATATAAAATAATTAAGGATTTAAATAGTTTAGTAAAGAAACGTATTATTGGAATAGATTCTAGATAGAGCTAGATTTAGATGTAGAATATGCCTGGCTTAGACTTAAGTCTAGTTTTTCTAGATCATCTAGATCTAGAACCTAGATAGATAAATCCCATGTATTCTCGATGTAGATGATAATTAAAGCTAAAAAGCAAGGAATTATTTCAAATATTTAAGGACTAACATAGTTTTGCAAAGAAACTAAAAAATTGATTGTGTTTTTATAATTGATTTTATTTTAACTAATTAATTTTGGTTAGACCTAGATTCTAGACTTTAGGTCTAGAATTGACTTCACTGCGTCCGAAAGCTTATCTGTAAATCTAGAGAAATTTATTGCATACTCAAATTAAAAGAACTGTTGAAAATTGATAATAGTGTTGGAACCTAATAAAAATAGCAAACGGACATATCGTTATAGCTATAGCCGACAGAAAATTAGCTTTATAAAGCATTGAACTTTTGAATGCGCAACAAAGATTCAATGGAAGCCGCCATTATTGTTATAAAAAGTAAACACATCTTGTGACGTCACTATAAGTAAAGTCATTGTTCTGAACGTTTATAATTAAAGTGGTCTATCTACCAATGAATATATCAATACATCAATTAACGTCTTTAAATAAATTTGTGATTAACAGTTTGTTAAAAAAGAACATTATTCTCTACCTAAATACTGATTTTACAGCTCTACACATAGTTCAGATTCTCTCATGTAACCAAACAGACAAACAAACAAACATACAGACAAATAAATATACAAACTTGTAAACAAACTTGAGTTTTAGTAGTATATAGATCATATCTTTTACGTTATTTAGTGACATTTTATTTTATTGTGATATCTTTTACTTTATTTAGCGAAATTGTATTTTATCGTTGTATCTTTTACTTTATTTAGTGACATTTTATTCACTCTTTCCAAATACTTTATTCCAACCTCCAATACCATCCACTAACCCCCATACTCCCAAAACGACATTAGCCGTTTTTATTAAGTCCATTCTATATCTGTAAACCTGCATGCTAATTTTTGTTCCGGTGGAAATTTTCAGTGCCAACTATTTACATTCTACTCGATCTTACTGAATACATTCCGGATATACAACGAATAAAATTTATTTATGTATTTATGTACTAATTCTTTTATTAAAATACAACAAACATTGAAAATATTTGCTTTAACTTTAATTGTTTGTGCATTTGCTTATGTGTTACGATAACGTTTTATACACATCTTTTAGAAGTAGGCCCCTATACATTTTAGTTTTTAACAACTTTAAAGATGTAATAATATATTATTTACTCAACGCGCGTGAGCCTGTGGTGTCGTGACAGTTGTCATCTACAGCTATGGTTACCAACACAGATAAACTTACTTCACTCACAATCTTCAATACCCAATTTATCATAACTCTTATAAAACAACGTAAATATATGTTTCCAATCAATTCTATTTAACATTTTATTCATCATATCGTCATCTTTTCTTGTTCGTAACCAAGATACATGGGGCAGATGAAGTAAAGTTCAGTTGCTTGATATACCTCTGTATACCTCTGTATATGAAGAGGGATAGTGTGGTCAGCATTATGCCCAGCCGCCTTTGTTCTAGCAGTCTTTTACCGCTATGCCACGCCTTCCCATTAAAGTAAATTAGCACTATTAAAAGTTTTGTCTTGATATTTGGTTTAATAATATGTGATAATATTTAATTCGAATGTCTTTTAAAAAATGGAAAAAATATTCAAAGCAAAGCCTATTTTTAAAAAATGGGATAAACTTTGCATGTTAAAATTGTAAACATTGACTCATACCAGCATAATTGGCCACACCAGCATAAAAAGTGCGTAAAAAACTTTGTTCTTTTTAGTGATCTGCTTGCTATAAATGCCTGATTATTGAATAAGCATAGATTTTAAAACATAAAAATATGTGACCGACAAAATACTGGTTTGAAAAAAAATTCTAACAAATAAAAAAAAACACATGTGAATATAGTTTAAAATGCGTGAATGAAGTAATTTTGAACAAAACTGAATACATTAATATATAAAAAAGGATAGGCCTACAGTTTGAAATATCATACATTGAAGTTATACATATATATATATATATATATATATATATATATATATATATATATATATATATATATATATATATATATATATATATATATATATATATATATATATATATATATATATAGACCAAAGTATGTGACAATGAAGCATGAACACATTAACACAGCATGAAAGACAGGCTTCAAACAGGCTTATAAAAACCATTGTATAATCAAGTCAATTTTTTTTTATTTACGGGATCCAATCAAGTCAAATTGTCAACAGACCGTTGAACGTGAGAAATATTCGTACCTGATTGTTGGAATCATGTGACAATCTTACCTTACTTCTAGGTACAACAACAGACAGACAATAGGCTGACATTTGTGAAACAAGACATACCTGTGCCAATTCTAGGAACAGCTGTCAATACCAAAAGTTACTGTAATTGACCTTCATTGTTAACCATAAAGCCATCCATATTTTCAACCTTATTGGCCAACCTTAATTGTCACCCTAATTGTGAAACCTACATACCAACCCAAATAAACAAACCTAATTTTAACCCTAAAAGTCAACCCTAACTTTAAACCTTAACTGTGAACATTTTATACCAACCCAAACTAACAACCCTAATCTAACACTAATTGTCAATTCTAATTATCAACCCTAATTTGCAACCAAATTTTCAACTCCAATTATCAACCATAATTTCAACCTTATATGTCAACCTGAATTATTAACCCTAATTTCAACCCTAATTGTCAGCTCTGACTATCAACCCTAATTTCAACCTTAATTGTCATCTCGAATTATTAACCCTGATTTCAATACTATTTGTAAACTCTGAATCTCAACACAAATAGCCAATCCTAATTGTCAACCCTAATCTACAACCCAGTGGCGTAGCGAAGTCGGGTGTCACCCGGTGCGGCACTTAATGGTGTAACCCCCTTCTCAGAGGCGTAGCGACTCTTCCCAGATACAAACCTTCAATTTTCGATTTGCACCCCCCCCCCCCTCGAACTTTTGATTTGCACCCCCCCCCCCTCAAACTTTCGATTTGCGCCCCCCTCCCCGCTCAAATTTTTCTCTATATATTTTACTATTTTTAGCCTTGGTGACACCCCCCTAAATGGTGTCACCCGGTGCGGTCCGCATCCCCCGCCCCCCCCCCTCCCCCTCGCTACGCCTCTGCTACAACCCTCATGTCAACCCTGATTGCTAACAAGCTTCAATGTGTATGTTCCAATGTTTGTTAGTTTCTAACATTTTGTCCTCCCTTCTAGGAAAAGGATTGTTTCTTATCAAAGAGATCACGCTGATATCGCAAATATGCAAATCGATATTCAGATAAGCGAGTAATCAATCAATCAATCGATCAATACATCGACAATTAACCACTGGGATTATTGGGGCATTACAATTGATTTTCACACAATTCGTTACCATTGTTCTCGGTCCTTTGCTGTTCTAAGTAGCTTTGCAACAGGCAGCCCAATCCATACTTTGATGTCGTTCATGTAAGACGTTATTGCCTTGTGTGGGTGGGGGTTAGACAATTAGCTTTGTATCCCCATAAAAATATATTAAAACAAAGTATTCACCGCATAGATATGTGGTATGTTAAGATAGCGTTTCATTGTTTTATTTTAACAATCGTGGTACACCTCCAAATATTAAAAGGATCAATATAATTTTGAAGATATGAGTTCTTAGAAATTAGCTTTGTATCTCCATAAAACATATATTCTTACAATGTATTCACCGCATAGATATGTGGTATGTTAAGATAGCGTTTCATTGTTTTATTTTAACAATCGTGGTACACCTCCAAATATTAAAAGGATCAATATAATTTTGAAGATACGAGTTCTCAGAAATGTCTAGGAAGTTGTTGAAAGGCAGCAAAATATGGCGTACACTATATGGTGGGAGGAGAGGGTTTTGAGATATATGTATTATTTGTACACCGTAATGTATACTCAGTAGCGTAGCGAGGGGGGGGGGGACGACGTTAGGGGGCGCCAAAATGGGTTGGAAAAATAAATTGAAAGGTTGAGGGGGTGCCAATTGAAAGTTTGAGAGGGGGGTCCAAATCGAAATCTTGAGGGGGGGGGGTGTAAATCAAAAGTTTGAGGGGGGTGCAAATTGAAATCTTGAGGGGGGTGCAAATCGATTAGTTTGTCCCCGGGCGCCGGGAAGGGTCGCTACGCCTCTGTGTATACTATAATACGTTCTCGCCTGGTACGCCAGGCACAGTGTGTGGGATCAAACACAGGTCTAATTCCAGATATGCTAGAATATTTCTTTATTCAAACACAAATCATGTACTCTGATTTATTCTGTCTGTGTAAGATAATTAATCTGCCTGTTATTTTTTTCATGAACTACTTTGTCTAAATTATGTTTTCTGAAATATTTTACCGTCTGAGATATTTTTTTCTGTCTGTTGTTTCTGTGTGAGATACTTTGTCTGCCTAAGATATTTACTCTGAAATATTTTGTCGGTCTAAGATATAGTATCAGAGACGTTACGCTTTTGTGTGTTAGGGGTCGGCGTGATCGAGTCGATAAAACTCATGGTTGCTAAACCGAAAAGTCTCGTGTTCAAACCCTCGAGCATTTGTGGCTGGACAGCTGGGGACAGCAACTCTTCTACAACTCGTGCTTTGTAGTTTGTTCTAGGTTGGACAAAGGCAAGGAAGCAAATTCAAAAAGAAAAGAAGGCTAAAATCGGAGTCGACGGCCTATATGGCGCATAAACATTTGACACGTATACTACATTGTGTTGAAGGGAATACATTCCAACACCAATATTAAGAATGACGAAGAAGAAGAAGGCATTTGTGATGTGATGTGTGACGTTTTATGTTCGGTTCTAGTGTACAAATAAACCCTGTATGAATCATTCTCAATTAGAAGTCTGCTTAGTATCTGGGAAATATTCAAGTTAGTTCGTAATCTCAAAAAAATTAGCTAGTCGATATAGCTATCGTCTCTTTAAGTGACTTTAAGTTAAGGTGATACTTAAATTCTTTAGCTTCCTTCTATTTAATAACTTTTAATAATCGTTAAATATATTGAATAATATAAATACTGTTTCTTGAGAGATCAATCGTATCTTGTATTGTATAAACATTTTCAAACATGTAGTTGTGTAATGTATTATTAGGGACAAAGGCAGAATTCCTTGTATTTTTTAACCACCTCTTTCCAAGACACGCTTGACTGAGTCGCCTTTAGCTTATACGTTAAGTTTTTCTACGTAGCGATACAGGACGTAACAGAAGTCAGGCTTGGAGGACGTTTATTAACAGGTGGTACATACAGAGACGGCTAGCGCGTTATAAATACGAGTTACACGACAGATTACAGATGAACATGTTGGTGTCTGGAAATCAATCTAGCTGGGATAGTGTTGGATTCAAATGAACATAACAGTGCCTAGAGCATAAAGATCACATTGGAATTTGCTCTAATTATATCAAATAGCCAACATGAGGTCCATGATTGTTACCTGGGTCTTAGCTATGGTGTTCCTTATACGTTTTAGCTCTGGCATAACAGGTAAGTTTTTTCTAATATATATATATATATATATATATATATATATATATATATATATATATATATATATATATATATATATATATATATATATATATATATATATATATATATATATGTGCGTGTGTGTGTGTGTGTGTGTGTGTGCATGTATTAACAGGGAAACTACTTTGGTATTTTTAACGTATCTGTGTTTTGTCAGTGCGTTTAAAGTACAGCACCAGTGACGTCATAAACCAAACACCACCTGATTACGTCAACATAACCGTTGTCATCAGCGTTAACACAACAGCCGAACTTCGCATGCAGCGTGTTCCTTATATCCGTCTAGACACGCCGGTCTATACATTGACAACTGACAAAGATGGACGCCCGATTCCTGCTAGAGAGTTTGTCGTCATTCCTGAAGTGAGTATTATTGGGCTCTTATTTAACGTTGTTTACTATTATTATTACCGTAAAATTTAATTATACGTTTAACATTATAAATCATTTTACCGTTATATTATCTATTAAGTTATATAAAGACAGAATATACTTATAAAACGATTGTTAGCTCTTTAGGGGATACTATATTTTGACAAGAATACAGATATATTAAAATGCCAGTGAATTGACAAAACTATACAGTTATTAAGTAAATGTTTCTGATCATATTTTTACTTAAGTATATTATTCTATTGCTTTTTTTTTTTACAACTCTGCCTCCATATAGAAAAACATATACGTGCACACATGTTACGTCCTCAACTTTTTATATATACACCTATAAAATTATAAATACGTATTTAACTATAAAAGAAATACATATTTATTACGTGTGTGTGTATTATATTTACATAAATAATCATATGTCGGCATAGTAAAATTATTTCAATATAATAATATAAAGGGAGAGCAAAACTAGAAGTATCCAGTGAAGGTTGTGAGCGAGAAATTTGTCCTGTCTCGATTATCTCATTAAATTTGAGGTTTAACCTTTTGACCCACTTTGTCACTATTTCTCGTTAGTCAAAATGGACCGTTGGTGCGCCCTAAGTGTCTTTTTGACCAGTTTCTCCATGCTTCATTGGTATCTGTCATCTTTGGAACTTCTCCCAGAGTTAACCCATCCATTTTCTTTGCAGACTTTTTTTTGTCTGGCATGGTCTATTGTACAAATGTTTCGGTAGTTTTCCTTCCCTCCCCTTTCAACTACACACAAAATTACATTAAATTCATTATCTGTTGAAACTTTCGATTTTACGGTTAAGTATTTTACCATATTGATGCGGTAAATGCAATGTTGAGAGGATGATAATGGCTCGAAACATTGTTTTTAATTTATTCGAGTAAATTATAAAACGAGCAACGGTCACTAATTTGTATCCTCTTGCTTTGAGTTTTAAAATGTAGTTGGAATTTTATCACTAGCAAATTTTTCAGATGAGCTATCTATACATCATTAATACGAATATACCACTCCTTATTAGTAACTTTCATTCAGCTAGATATAATTTATGCTATTAATTTATCACTCCAAATTAGTAACCTATCATTTATTGCTAGGAATATACCACTTCTAACATAGCATGTTTCAACAGAATATGGGCTACTATCAGGACGTAGAAGGTAACGCCGCCCTACAGATTGAAAGAATAGATGGATCCACGGACAATGACACTCGACTTTCACTGGTAACCTTTTAATTCATGCTCTGCATCTACTTGCACTATATATATATATATATATATATATATATATATATATATATATATATATATATATATATATATATATATATATATATATATATATATATCCGATGTTACAGAATATTTACCCTAACGCATCTCTCCTTATAACCCAAAGGTCTAAAAGAAAATAATATTCACATCATATGAAGACGAATAAGCATTTCGTGTGCTTTTTAAAACTTGTTTAACAAAACAATACCATTTGTTTCAAATTAATGTTGTATTACATTTTTGTCAGAGAGGTACTTTTACTCACGACGGCGTGGTCTACACGCTCTCACCTACTGCACGTGCTGAGCGAGACGTGTCCACACAGTTTGAACATTTCGACCTTCAGGAGCTCAAGCCTTATCCTGCTAACGCTTTTGATTACGTGGTGCCCAGTAAGTTGTTGAGTTGTACATGCTCATAGCCAGTGGCGTAGCGAGGTCGGGTGTCACCCGGTGCGGCACTTAGTGGTGTCACCCCCCCCCCCTCCCCACGCAGAGGCCAAAGCGACTCTTCCCGGGTGACAAACTTTCAATTTCGATTTGCACCCTCCACCCCCTTCAAATTTTTCTCTATAAATTTTACTATTTTTTGCCTTGGTGTCACCCCCCTAAATGGTGTCACCCGGTGCGGTCCGCACCCACCGCCCCCCCCCTCGCTATCACAATCACAATCACAATCACAAACAAAATAACAATCACAAACAAAATCACAAACAAAATCACAATCACAATCACAATCACAATCACAAGCGTAAGCACAAGCACAAGCACAAGCACAAGCACAAGCACAAGCATATTAATAAGCATAAGCATAAGCATATTAATAAGCATAAGCATAAGCATAAGCATAAGCATAAGCATAAGCATAAGCATAAGCATAAGCATATTAATAAGCATAAGCATAAGCATAAGCATATTAATAAGCATAAGCATAAGCATAAGCATAAGCATAAGCATAAGCATAAGCACAAGCACAAGCACAAGCACAAGCACAAGCACAAGCACAAGCACAAGCATAAGCACAAGCACAAGCACAAGCACAAGCACAAGCACAAGCACAAGCACAAGCACAAGCACAAGCACAAGCGTAAGCGTAAGCGTAAGCGTAAGCGTAAGCGTAAGCGTAAGCGTAAGCGTAAGCGTAAGCGTAAGCGTAAGCGTAAGCGTAAGCGTAAGCGTAAGCGTAAGCGTAAGCGTAAGCGTAAGCGTAAGCGTAAGCGTAAACATAAGCGTAAGCATAAGCGTAAGCATAAGCGTAAGCATAAGCATAAGCATAAGCATAAGTATAAGCATAAGCATAAGCATAAGCATAAGCATAAGCATAAGCATAAGCATAAGCATAAGCATAAGCATAAGCATAAGCATAAGCATAAGCATAAGCATAAGCATAAGCATAAGCATAAGCATAAGCATAAGCATAAGCATAAGCATAAGCATAAGCATAAGCATAAGCATAAGCATAAGCATAAGCATAAGCATAAGCATAAGCATAAGCATAAGCATAAGCATAAGCATAAGCATAAGCATAAGCATAAGCATAAGCATAAGCATAAGCATAAGCATAAGCATAAGCATAAGCATAAGCATAAGCATAAGCATAAGCATAAGCATAAGCATAAGCATAAGCAAAATTATAATCAGTAGTGGTAATTGTAGTAATAATGATAATAAGATGTTCACCGTTGCCATGCAAACATATTTTCAGAACAGTCCCTGATAGAAAGTTCCACTTCCTGTTATCGAAAATCGATGAAAAGTTGAAACGGAACTACAAATTTGAAAGAACACTTAAAATAATATATACAATTTTAACAACCTTGATGTAACGGTACACAAGTTATCGTTTATACAGACACATATACACACACACAGAGAGACATACGGACAGATTTGCCAAGTCCCGTTTTTCCGACTCGATTACGCATAAAACGCCAACATTTTAATATATCTGGATTTATAATTTTCTCCAGATTAAAATAAGTCCTCTATACTCCGGATGTGAAGAAGGAGTGATTTGTAAATTGCTGAAAACTGTCAAAATTTCAAGCGATTTTTTGCACGATTACAATACTTTCTCTATACTCTATATATGAGAAAGTAAAAAAAAATAAAGCGTATTAACTAAATAATTATTTTTTTCTGAACAGAAAAAAACACAGACGTCGCAAAAGGCATCAATATAAATAATCCAACATTTATTCCCCCATTAACCAATCGTCGCCGTAAACGCCAGACAAAACCCGACTACTACATTGACGTGGTTGCTATGGTAGACTTTGGCTGCTGGAAGATCTTCCTGGCTAAAGCCACGGGTGTGAGAGATGACGCCATCAGAAACATACAGAAATATTTTTCTTTGATTTTCAATGGGGTGAGCATATTGCTAATACATTGTATCTCACTCACACTTCGTTTTGAAACAAACATGGGCTTGTCAACAACGTGTATCGTGTTTTCGTGATAGTCTCATTCCCAGTTGTGAAATTCGAATTTGTTAATGGGAGGCAACACATTAAGGTAATTAAGCTAATCCACTCTGAGACATGGCATAATCATGTAGGTACATAAATACAGACCTATCCCTATAACTGATACTACGTGTGTTCTTAACCCTAACCCCACGCTTTTCATAATATGAATCCATATCCCTATCTATAATGTATATATATATATATATATATATATATATATATATATATATATATATATATATATATATATATATATATATATATATATATATATATATATATATTTATGTATATATATATATATGACTATATGTGTAAGGGTGCATGCGTATTTATATGTGTATACTTGTGGAAATACAAACATGATTTATATATAAACTAGCCGTCCCGGCCAGGCCCTGCTCTGGCTTCTGTGAAAAACCTTTCTGTTAAAGACCATTACCTGTGTGTTTAGTAATCATCATAAACCCGGCATTGCCCACCCAAACCACAACCAACCAAAACAACAAAACGCAAACATAACGCTAACACAATTACAAATAAAAACGAAAACAAAAACCTAACAACAAACCCAACCACAACCACAAACACCAATACAAACACAAAGAAAAAACAAACAAAAAAGCAAACGAAAACAAAAACCTAACAACAAACCCAACCACAAACACCAATACCAACACAAAAAAACAACGAAAAAGCAAACGAAAACAAACCAAATCCAAACGCAAAACCAACCAAAAACACAAATACAAACCCAAACAAAAAAAACACAAACAAAAACGAAAAAAGAAAGAACAAAAACGAACCAAATCAAAACGCAACCACTAACGCAAACCCACCTAAACACAAAGAAAACACTAACGCGAACATAAACGCCCGGGGCGGAATCACCTGTTTTAGCTTAATGAACGACTATAGTACCCCAACTTATTCATAGTCTTTTGCACTCACTTAAACGAACGCGCCTGTTTCAATTTGATGAACAATTTTAATACTCCAAGCTTATCCGTAAAATACCTACAACATTTGCACTTGATCAATCCCCGCTAATTATGTAATTATTTTTTTTCCCAACACCAAAACAAAGTAATTAAAAAGTAAATTATTTTCGACTAATGCAATGGTTTTATAAAGGGAAGTAATTTTGTTTTCCTAATTTATCAAAGGGAAGTAAGTGCTATAGGACTAAATAAAGACATAATTAGAATTTTTGTAAAAGATGATATTTTTTTTAAACTTGTGTTTAATGAACATGCCGACAATTATTACTGTAATTTGAAAAATGAAAATGATTTCCCAACACTTTCAATGGTAATTTTTTAGCTCATAAATTTAGACAAATGCGCACGATAATTTTTCTAACACTTAAAATCGTACAATTCCAACGACATACAAATGCATTACATACAGAACGGAGCTTTATATATTAGATTCTCACTATTACTTTCTGATTCTCTAGGTTGATAGCATGTATCATAGCATAACTACAACCAACTTCATTCTTAACGTTAGACTGAAAAAAATCATTATCTGTGAGGTAAGTCTATACACCATAAAACTAGAAAAATGTTTAACTGATATAGTTTTTTCATACTTATACATTCACCAAAACCTAAAAGCTTACCGCAAACAAATACATACATAGAACTATCTTGTATTAAAATCATAAGTTAGCTACATTTATGTTATGAACAATAGAAAATTTGCATTTTATTACACTAGACAAGGAACTAACAAAATTTACTAGCTCGTAAACGTGTAATAACATTAGTAGGTGGTTATTAATATTATCTTCTCTGCCGATAGCTTGGTTTAAGTTGACTTTACTACAGCTAATAAAATCTGAAACCTCTGTTTATAAGTACTTGTCCTAGTTCTTTAGAATATGATTAGAATATTATACATTTTTACTTTTTACAAACTTGTTCAGTAGTTGTTAATATACATATTATAAATAAATAAATAAATAATATATATATATATATATATATATACATATATATATATATATATATATATATATATATATATATATATATATATTTATTTATATTTATATTTTTAATTATATATTTATATATATATATATATATATATATATATATATATATATATATATATATATATATATATATATATATATATAAATATATAAATATATATATATCTATGTATATATCTATATTAATATATATATATCTATATTAATATATATATATATATATATATATATATATATATATATATATATATATATATATATATATATATAAACACACATATATATATATATAAATATATATATATATATAAATGTATATAAATAATATATATATATATATGAGACATATATATATATATAGGCATGTCTATGTATGTATGCTAGACCTCCGATGCATCACCATTCACAAACAATGCGACAACACTTGCTGAAAACTATGTGGACAGCTATGCTGGACTGAATATTTTGGCTGACTACGTTAAGACCAACGAAGGGTCTCTGTTTATACCATATGACCACGTCATGTTGTTTATCGGGTAAATTATATGTATATATATATATATATATATATATATATATATATATATATATATATATATATATATATATATATATATATATATATTATATTGAAGAAAATACATCGCAGTGGGTTCCCCTGCCACGGTTAAGTACTAGATATATAACAAGTTTGATTAATTAGTAATAATAATATGTTGCGTAAATTTCCATTAAGCTGAGAATGATTATCTGGAATTGATGGGGATAAAAAAATTTGATCTTGGCTTTGGTGGCACATTTTAAAATTTTACAGTCACTACTGAAATTGTCTTATTTTCACTGCATATGCTTTATATCACGAAGGTATTTTTAATGCTTATTTTGTTTCTTCTGTCGTAGCTACAACTTAACCGATTCTAATCGCAATGCCGATCTACTAGGTAAGTTAAAATTCTCTTTCTTATAGTTTAACTGTTTTATAGGGATTGATATACTATTATGCGGAGAACAACAACGCATAACTGACTATAGCCTACATATTGAATAAACCGGGATTGATCTCCCCTAAACTTTCTCGAATATTCTTATATAACTTGGAATATAGACATGATTTTTAATTACTTAAACTTTTAAAATAAGGATAGAATCTCATAGAAAAAAAGAATTGCGCACCAAGTGAACGCCAAAACAAAATGTGTATAATAGTACGCAATATTATTAGTACTTTATAAATTTACATGAGTTTTTTTAGAAATCGGAAATAGCGTAAATTAGTACTTCCGGTTAATGGAAATTACTCAAAATTTGTCAGAGGGTAGAGATGTAGATCTTTTACTTACATGTGAAATTTCATTTATCTATCTAAAATAGTATTCAAGTTATAGGCTTTTGATAAATTCAAAGTAGAAAAAGTACCACTTCCGGTTATCGGAAATCGCTCAAAAGTTAATACGGATCTACGATTTTGATAAAATACTTATATATGAAATTTTGTCAACCTAACTGTAACGGTACTCAAGTGATCGTGTTTACACACAGACAGACAGACAGACACACACACACACAAACATCCACAGACACACAGACATACGGACAAGATTGCAAAATTTATGTTTTTCTGTATCAGTGAGGTGTAAAACGTCGAGATTTGTAAAAAATCTCGAGTTTTTTTTTGCACGATTTCAAGACTTTCTCTATACTTCGTATATACGAGAAAGTAAAAAATGCTTCAGTTAAGTTGATGTTTCGCTGCTCATTAATGACATCACGTTTGTTCCAGTGTAGAATTTTAGACTTTTCTGGAGAAATCTAGCTATGACACGGAATACTATGTTGTCTTTTTTTGGATTTATTTATGTTTCATAAACACGTGTACTTAATCAATGTATTTAACACTGGTATGTGGTACGTTATTTTTTAATGAAACATGCATATTTAATTGGACGTCGTGTCCCCAGCGGTAGAGCGCCTGACTGTTAACCCGAAAGTCACGAGTTCGTATCCAGGTTTAAGTAAATGGAACGTCCCTGTTCTGATTGGTACTTAACTCACGTTAAGGAAATTAAAGACGACTGGTCAAAGTGCTGACCACATTAACCTTTATGTGCCGATGTGAAAAAACATATTAAATCTATTTCTTATACCTAATGGATAGCTAGGTCTTAAGAGGAGTCTTTACATACATGTATATTTAATTAAACATGAGAAAAAATAAATATACCTTTGGATGTTGAAAAATGTCTTAGGTCTTGCTTATGTGGGTACTACGTGTAATGCTGGTGGTTTGAGCACTTCAGTTGTTGAAGAAATGGGGGTTTACTCTTCCATACATACAGCAGCACACGAGCTAGGACATGGGTAAGTGCTTTCATAGTTTAATCCTTGTGTAGTGTTTTCCATTTGTCCAATACCGGTGACGCGGTTGGCGGATATACGATTTTAGCCTTTGTGTACCGAGTTTCTTCCAGGCATCTGAGCCCCCCCCCCCCCCGGAAATTTTAGTCCCCCCTCCCCCCCAAATAAAAAGTTTCAAGTGCCCCCCTGGAGGAAAAAGTCTGGAAGAAACACTGTTAGTGTATTATCGAATATGAGCCCATCATGTATTTGTAAACTAAGTAATAACAATTTCTGTATTTATCAGAACAATTTATCACTAAGTTAACGTCTTTCTCTCGTACCAATTTACCAGTTTGATCCAAGAGTTTGTTTATATTCATTTCTAAGACACTGAATCAAGACTGCTAAAGTTATTTTTTTTTTACAATTTTCCTCAAATAAATCCAAATTGAGTCTAATAATGTGTCTTATAAAACTGACAAGAATTTTTTGTTTAAATAAATGTGTTAACAAATGTGACCATGTCCTCAACCATCATTAACTGTTAACTATTTGATCGTGAACCCGCTTATCTTCAAAACATGACGGAGATGGCAATACATGCTATAACGCTGACCGTTACATAATGGCGACTTCGCTTAACTACCAAGAGACGCCCGAGACAAAGCTTAACCCATGGAAGTTCTCGAACTGCAGTGCCAGTTACTTCAGCGGATATGTCTCAACACTCTTGCAGACTGTGTAAGTTATACATTACATACATCCAGAGGCGTAGCAAGGGGGGGGGGGGGGGGGGACATATGTCCCCGGGCGTCGACCTTAGTGGGCACCAAAATGGGTTGGAAAAACAAATCGGATGTTTGACGGGGGGGGGGGGTGCAAATACATCAATTATTTTTTTCTAAATTATGAAGTTCTTTCGTGTTTAAGAATACCCACTTCAGATTAGTTGAAATGTGTTAAAATAAGTAATATAAATCTAATATTCTTTTATATTAGTTTCAGAAAGTATGAATTTTCAATTTAAATTTCGTAATAGTTTTAAAAATAAGTATCTTTAGATTCTTGCATTAAGCAGATTATCAGCATAATGTTTTCGTTAAATTTATGTAACTTCTGTTGTTATTGGTATTAATTTTTAAAACCTTCGAGATTGTGCTAATGAAATAAAAATTGGCATATTTTGTTTTATTTTCAACAATTTTGTTAGTTCAGATCAAATTTAAAACATTAAATAAATTTTTTTAAAAATTTTAATGTTTTTTTGTAGATTGGTTTCATATTTCTATTTACGTTATTTAAAAAAAATCAATTGTTTTGATTTATTTAGTTTTTTCCTTTGTGGTTAATTTATAAGAACATTAAAACTGATTTATTTATTTTTTAGAAAGGGTACGGCTTGTTTGACAACTCTACTCAATCAAGACTCCCAGATTCCAGACACATCCGGTCAACTGTTGGGTCAACTCTATCCACCATCAGAGCAGTGTGTCATGCTATATGGGAACAATTCTTATGACTGCAGGGTAAGCCAATATGCAGAGAGGTCTCGAGGTGCGGGCGGTAAGTGCGGACCGCACCGGATGACACATTTTGTGGGGGGGGGGGTGTTGACACCAAGGGGAAAAAATGCAAAATATATAGAAGAAATATGCTATTTGCATATTGCGCTTAATGAACGATAAAAAAAAGTATTTTAAGTACAAATATACTATGCGACAAAATGTGGGGGGGGGTGTATCTATGATTCAATCCTGCTAACTATATAGAACAAAATGCTACATCCAGTTGAATTAATAATCGATTATAGATAAACATCTTTACTATAAAAAATTTAAAGCTAGCATATATATAAATATATATATATATATATATATATATATATATATATATATATATATATATATATATATATATATATATATATATATATATATAGCCTCTACATCATTTCCCTTTGATGGTGGAGACCCAAAAAGGTACCGCACCTAGCGACGCCTCTGCCAATATGACATTCATCCGTTTCTTTTTGGGTATTAATGGGTTCGAAGATGGAGAAATAAATACTTAATTAATAAGCCTTTTTGTGTAATTATTAGTGTATCTAAAATAAGAAAAAAATATTGACATGCATCAGGGACTCTTTTAAAAATATGGTTGCGCGGGTAAAAATTGCCATCTTGAAAATAAAAACGTTTGTGTAGTTTTGTTGCCGCTACGAAATCCCAGTGAATACTTTAGGAACAATGTATTGTAGGCATGATTTGAACACCCATGCAATAAAGTTTTTCAAACTATTGTATTGTTACCGGTTCTAAAATCCAGTAAATATTGTAGGAATATATATTTTAGGGACGATGTGAAGAGCCATTTAATACAGTTTTTATAAACTATTGTATTGTTTCAGGTTCTAAAACCCAGTAAATATTGTAGGAATATATATTTTAGGGACGATGTGAAGAGCCATTTAATACAGTTTTTATAAACTATTGTATTGTTTCAGGTTCTAAAACCCAGTAAATATTGTAGGAATATATATTTTAGGGACGATGCGAAGAGCCATTTAATAAAGTTTTTATAAACTATTGTATTGTTTCAGGTTCTAAAACCCAGTAAATATTGTAGGAATATATATTTTAGGGACGATGTGAACAGCATTTTAATAAAGTTTTTATAAACTATTGTATTGTTTCAGGTTCTAAAACCCAGTAAATATTGTAGGAATATATATTTTAGGGACGATGTGAAGAGCCATTTAATACCGTTTTTATAAACTATTGTATTGTTTCAGGTTCTAAAACCCAGTAAATATTGTAGGTATATATATATTTTAGGGACGATGTGAAGAGCCATTTAATACAGTTTTTATAAACTATTGTATTGTTTCAGGTTCTAAAACCCAGTAAATATTGTAGGAATATATATTTTAGGGACGATGTGAACAGCATTTTAATAAAGTTTTTATAAACTATTGTATTGTTTCAGGTTCTAAAACCCAGTAAATATTGTAGGAATATATATTTTAGGGACGATGTGAAGAGCCATTTAATACAGTTTTTATAAACTATTGCATTGTTTCAGGTTCTAAAGCCCAGTAAATATTGTAGGAATATATATTTTAGGGACGATGTGAACAACATTTGAATAAAGTTTTTATAAACTATTGTATTGTTTCAGGTTCTAAAACCCAGTAAATATTGTAGGAATATATATTTTAGGGACGATGTGAAGAGCCATTTAATAAAGTTTTATAAACTATTGCATTGTTTCAGGTTCTAAAATCCATTAAATATTGTAGGAATATCTATTGTAGGGACGATGTAAACAGCCATTTAATAAAGTTGTATTAACCATTTCCTTTGTTACAGTTACGAAATCCCAGTGAATACTGCAGGAACATGTATTGTAGTGATGGTTTCAGTAATCTTTGTTACATGGCTTATGCTCTAGAAGGTACAACCTGCGGCAGTGGAAAGGTATGGGCTTGTTTCGTTTATAATTTGGTCGTCTATCTTTTTAAATTTAAAATTCTTTCGATCCTTATTAAAATTACATTTGTTCCATGGCAAGCTGTTTTAGATTCTTCGTTAAATTAAAACTTACATAAAAAAACGCGTTAATAAATATATTGTACATTTTACTCTTTATTCAACAAAAATAAAAGTCTGGAATTGATACCCAGGGATTTGCATCATAATTATTTTTATGATACAGTATCGATGTATTAAAAAAATTATAAAATTATTGAAAAATTATTGGATGTCTTGAATTATTTGTTTGTTTTTATGAGACAGTATCGATATATAAAAAAATTATTAAATTATTGTTAAATTATTGGAAGCCTTGAATTATTTGTTTGTTTTTATGATACAGTATCGATGTATAAAAAACAATTACAATATTATTGTTAAATTATTGGATGCCTCGAATTATTTGTTTGTATGTTAGATTTAGTTAAGTGTTTAATAGAAATAACAATGAATTGTAAAGTTTAGATTTTGTATATATTTTCTTGAATTAATAAAACAACAAATTTAAATGTTAAATAGAAAATAAGGTTCAAACAATGGTATCTAGTTTTAACGATAAAATTTAGTTCACATATGTTGCTTTAAAAGATGTTTTTCTTTTAAATAGCTATGTAAGGGAGGTGACTGTGTAACGGACGCAGCAGCCCCTATAGTTGATGGTATGTTAAAATATTTTCCTTTGAAAGTATGTTTGGAAAATTTTAGGATTTTAAGCATGCGTTTTAATACATCTATAGTATTCTATAGGAATCATTTATATAACATGTAAAACAACATTATGGAACTATAGTCATCCAAACGCTAGAACATACAGTTATATATATTCCAAAATCCCACCCCCCCCCCCCCCACCTAACACTCGGACTAACATACATGAATTCATTATTATTATTTAATTTCAATACAGTATTGTAATTAAACCTCCTTTAAAATATAGTGATTTTGCAACTATATAAACTGTTCAAAATACCTACGCAGTTTAAATAAATGTATTATCTTTATATTTTAAAAAGTAGTTTAGTTTAAATAAAATGTTATTGTTTAAAAATAAATTCAATACATTTTTTAAAAACATTTTTTCTTCTTCGTCGTCCTCACAAATATGTGTAGAGGATTGTGTGTTTGGAGATGAGTCACGGAAAATATTTTCTACTCTTGGGAACAAAACGTGTGCTTCACTTGTGCAGACGTCTAAACTGTATTGCTATCAAGATTCCGTTTTTAAACTCTGCTGCGCTACCTGCAAGGCTGTGAAAAGAAACGTTCCAGGTGGGTAAATGTATGGTGTCACTGAGGGCAGTGGCATAGCGATGTCGGTTGTCACATGGTGCGCACCTAATGATGTCAATCCCGCCCCCTTAGAAAAAAAGTATATATATATATATATATATATATATATATATATATATATATATATATATATATATATATATATATATTAATATACCTATATATAATATACGTGTATACGCATGTGTATATGTATTGAAATATTTTTTCTTCTTGATGTATTTAATTTTTTACACCCCCCCCCCCCACACCCCTTCATCACCACACGATGATTGCTCTAATCTGTGCACAGATAATACTAACGATTTGTATCGTTTAGAAATACAGCTGGATGTAGCATGTTTTCTCTATCATTAGAAGGCTTACGTCATTCTAATTAATCATTTCAATTTTCTATATATTATAATTTGTATTGCTATTTTTTGCCTTGGTATCACCCCCTAAATTGTATCACCCGGTGCGGTCCGCACCCCCCCCCCCAACCCCCACCCCTCTCGCTACGCCTCTGACTGAGGGTGTCATTTCTCCTCAAGCTCATAGTGCTGATTTTACTCTACTCTACGTCGAGGATTTTTTGATCACAGAAAAGACAGTCCAGGTTATATCCTCACCTTCCTTATAGTAGTTTGTGCGAATTATAATTTAACATCATTTTAGGTATAACCTACAAAGACAGCTTCATAAATAGTCTACCGCCCCAACCCACCTGAACGTTATGACTTTTAAAGAGAAAATACAAACTTTTACTAGTATCGTCCTCCCCCCCCCCCCCCACACCCGGAAAATTTAGTCTGCCCCCCCCCCCCCCCATCATCCCCCAACGCCGAAAATATCACTCCCCCCCCCCCCCCCCCCCCACGGAGAAAAAAGTCTTAAAAAAACACTGTATCCAATGTTGATGTAGGTACCAATTGAACAAATTATTTATTAAGCTAGTGTTAAGTCCTTACCATTGTAGACGAACATTTATTTTTATTTTACAGGGTGTGAATATGGAGACACATTTACGGGATGTACGGCAAGTTCTTGTAGTATCCAGGAAAACTTAGCCGGCTGCTGTGAAACGTGCAATTACACTGCACCCATAACAACAGCGGCGACTACACCGTCGGCATCATCCCTCGCGACAACTACAATCACCATCTCGACAACCACCTCAAAATCAACAGCAGCATCGACGTCCTCTCTAACTCAGACAACAGGATCGACGCCACCAACACAGGTTTCAACAGCATCAACATCAACAGCAGCAACAGCATCAACATCAACAGCAGCAACAGCATCAACATCAACTGCAGCAACAGTATCAACATCAACAGCAGCAACAGCATCAACATCAACTGCAGCAACAGCATCAACATCAACAGCAGCAACAGCATCAACATCAACAGCAGCAACAGCATCAACATCAACTGCAGCAACAGTATCAACATCGGATGCAGCCGTTACGGCGACGACGGCATCACCAACAGGAAACAACACAACTACACTGCGACCTACAACTACAGGTAATTATATAGCATTTTTATGTGGCGTAATAATACTAATATTGTTTATAGAGTTTAACTTCGTTAAAAAAGGTTTCACTGAGCAATATTGTTTACCCAATATATAAATACACACACACACACACATACACACACACACACACATATATATATATATATATATATATATATATATATATATATATATATATATATATATATATATATATATATATATATATATATGGGTTGTCTGGTCTAATGGGAGAGCGTTTCTTATTAACGTTAGTTCAAATCTCGGTTCGGACTTGGGCTGTAGGATATTCCTGCTATCCCTGAGTCCACCCAGCTCTGATAGGTACCAGCCTAACATTAGGGAAAGTAAAGGAGGCTTTGCATAGAGTTTATTACACTATCCCTTCATATGTGGGTGGGGGAGGGGGGGGGTAACATAACAGGTAAACTCTATTTTATCTGCGACATTGGCTTTTGGGTTTTTAAGGGTATCTATGCAAATATATACGTATACAATATACATACATATGTATTTATTTGAACGTTCATTTTATACGAACACAGAGGCAATCGTTTGTGTGGACACCACCGGGTCAGTAATGGACAACATGAGCTGTTCAGACATAGCAGAGAAAAACATTGGCTACTGTTACCTGGCAATGGTCCACACACAATGCTGCTCCACCTGTGGCCGTGCCGCTAGTGGCGTGAAAGGTAAAGTCAGATTTGTGTAGATTGGCGAATGTGGGATTTAGATGGGGTCAAACAGGGATTAAAATAATTAGTTGTTTAATGTTGGGGATCTAGTTGTTGCAATGAACTCGTCCAGAATAAAACTGTTTGAACGTACATTAGCGAACGCTAATGCAATGGCGATTACTGAATGCGATTGAGGAGCCAAAATGCAAAATGGCTGAAGTAAACTTTTCTTAAATGATATAAGTTCCTTTTTTAAATTCATCTCTATCAGTTCCATCAGTTCCAAGCACACGCGGAATTGTATCACCCTCAAAAAGGCGATAAAATTGAACGATAAAATGTTCAATATCAGTACATGGATATTTGTATTTAAACAAAATAGTGGTTTTTCTTTTTAAAAAGCTGCCTTAAATGCACTTAAGCCCTTTTGCATTTGGGCTTCTCACATAATTAAGAACAGAGATATGTGAATAGCAAAAGTAAATGCTTCCCAAGGCTTAAGAAAGTAATAACATTTTTGGGATCATTATTTGTGGATTTATTTGGGTGCATGGGTGTCCTTTATATCTTAAACATATAAATAAACAATGAATATATATATATATATATATATATATATATATATATATATGTATATAGATATATATATGTGTGTATGTGTATGTGTGTGTGTATGTTTATGTATGAGTGCGTTAATTTCGAGTGTAAAAGCTTCTCTAAACTTTTGACTAGAAGTACTCCACAAAGTTGGCCTACCACTCCAATCCAAACCAAAACAACGTTCCACAAAGTATTATTTAATCAATAGGAAGCATAAACAATATTTGTAACTCCTTATCCTCAGGTTGTGAGTACGGTGACCGTGAACCCACCGCATGCGCACTTGTCAACGCCTGTCAGACCACACCAGAACTATGCTGTCAAACATGTAACTCGGGCAGACAAACTGCTAGCGGCAACAGCCTCAGTGTTGTGTCTGCCGGGATCTTCTTGTTTGTTGTTCATATTGTAACTCCCGAATGGTGAACATCTATTGCTGAGCTATTATCAGTCGAATGCCTTAATCTATTTGAATACGTGTGTATAAGTGTATTGTGTGTGTGTGTGTGTGTGTGTGTGTGTGTGAAAGTTATATTTTAATCTATTAAATTAGTGACATTTTTCTACTGTCGTATTGTTACTTTACTTGATAAAATATTATTTTATTGTCATTTCTTTGATTTTACTTAGTGAAATTTTATTTTATATCTTATCTTTTACCATATTCATTGAAATTTTATTTAATTGTTATATATTTTACTTTGTTTAGCGAAATTTTATTTTATTTTTATATCTTTTACTTTATTCGGTGACATTTTATTTTATTGTAATATCTTTTACTTTATTTAGTGATATTTTAATCTCTCCTCCCATTTACTTCCAACCTCCACTACCATCCACTAACCGAATACTCCCAAAACGACATTAACCGTTTTTTATTAAGTCCATTCTACATCAGCTGTCATAAAAACCTGCAGGTCATTTTTTTTCTGCTGGATATTTTCAGTAGCAATTATTTACATTCTACTCAGTCTTACTGAATACATTCCGGATTTACAACCAATAAACTTTATTTATGTACTAATTCACAGGTGTTTTAAAGTGGTTTATTTATTATTTTAGATAAATAACTGAACAATCGACGAAGTTCTTAATTTACATGTGATACATGTAATTATAGTTACTTATACCGCTGCCATTAATTGAATCATTATGCTAAAATATATGTCTGTTGTTGTAATGTGTCCTGGTAGCCAGTTAGTTCAAATGGCTAAGATATAATTAGTATTTATCTAATTACTTCTTAAAAAAAATATTTTTTTTCAAAATACTATTATTATTTGTAAACATTCTTAACCAAATTAATTTCTTTGCGTTAAATTAGGGGTCATCCATAAATGACGTCACACTCGTAGGGGGGAGGGGGGGGTCCGTAATTTTGTGTGATGAGGGGGAGGGGGGGGGGTCAGATGTTGCGACGTCACATTTTTGCATTATAAAAAAGCAATGTTAGAAAACGAATTTTAGACGTTATTTCGCGTTTTAGATAACTGTTTTTATAAATTGTAATAGTTTAGACAAGATTTTGGAAAAATATCAATGTTTTTAAAAATTCAACTGCAATTTTGAGGGGGGTTGTAGGTTGAGGTGTGACGTCATTTTAGGGGGGGTCTGGCTTTTTGTGACGAAGTGTGACGGAGGGGAGGGGGGAGGTAAAAATCGTCAAAAAAAGCATGACGTCATTTATGGATGACCCCTTATGGATTTGATTTAATTAAAAAAATTCTCCTATCAATATAGGTGTTTGAGCAAATCGACTTGTGCCGTTTCCCTTAAAATCAATTAAAAAGTGAAATGAAATAGGCCAAATAATTTAAAAACAAAATACTCGAAATTACAAACGATAATAAACCACATTAACATTTATTAGAGAGATACAATATTTGATTATGCTGAAATTATCTTACACATAAATGTACCTGTAGTCTTTCAAAATAGTTAGTTAAAATATCGACAAAATTATACACATTTGAAAACAAAATCAATACACTTGCAATTTTAAGATATTTTATTTTTGCAAAAGCAAGACATTCAATGGCAGTCCAGTGTGAAAATTCTGACTGGAATTTATTCTTTCTGGTTCCAAAACAAGAAGAGGAGTCTTGTATTCATTTCCTCTAACTATTAGCTTCTGTATAATAGAAATAAAGATACTAAAATTATAATTTGTATAGGCTATATTTATGTTGCAGTTTAAATGATAGTGCATTTCATCGTTAAAAAAGTATTTAACTGACTAAAAAGGTTGATGTTATTTAAAACGATTTTTTTATCATTTGCTGTTGGAATAAGTAATAAATATAATAATTCAAACAATTTTCTTAATTTATTATAGTTTAAAATTGAGCTTATCTTAAACAAATCAAAGGTATCAGAATAAAAAAGTATGGTTACTATGTCGAAAGAAGATGAATTGTATTATGGTCTAAATATGGATATAAGGATACAGTATACTGAAAGGTTAGGCTGCTTAAATGTAAAGTCGAAACAACATTTTTTTTTACTATTTTAATCTGAGCGTAACTCATATTTTAGGAGATTTCGTTGTTTTTCATAGTAGGCCTACATGAAAAATAACATAAAAGTATAATTTTAAATATTGTCATGAAAAAAAAATTCATAAAAAACGTTTTAATAACAAGCTTTTATGTACTAATGCACTAAAAAGTACAAAATAAATTATAGACTACTATTTAAATAACTAGAAAGAAAAGCGTGGGTGTCTTCCTAAACATTAGTGAAGGTATCCAATAGATACTAAAGTGACCCACGCTTTTCTTTCTAGTTATTTAAATAGTAGTCTATAATTTATTTTCTACTTTTTAGTGCATTAGTACATAAAAGCTTGTTAGTAAAACGTTTTTATGAATTTTTTTTAGTACTTTACATGTTTTTATTTACACTAGAGTTTAATGACTAAAAAACATTGCGCGCCGATTGAAACGTGATATCGCAGCTATTGAACGTGATGACGCGTGACGTGCGGTTATATAGACATGCCTACTAATTCGGTCCAAATTTTAATTAATTCATAAAAAATTAATCAGGCATCCAATTAAGTCAAATTTAATGTCACAATGCATTGTCTTCATGTCTTGACCCACGTGCCAAGTGTGAATGGTATCGGTCAAGTAGAAGTGTCCGAATTTTCATTCCTGCGTTTCGATCTAGACTGACGACTGACGACAGACAGAGGAAGTGAGTTAAATGAAAGCTTGTAAAAAAATTCATAAAAAACTTTTTAATAACAAGCTTTTATGTAATAATGCACTAAAAAGTAGAAAATAAATTATAGACTACTATTTAAATAACTATAAAGAAAAGCGTGGGTCACTTTAGTATCTATTGGATACCTTTACTAATGTTAAGGAAGACACCCACGCTTTTCTTTATAGTAATTTAAATAGTAGTCTATAATTTATTTTCTACTTTTTAGTGCATTATTACATAAAAGCTTGTTATTAAAACGTTTTTTATGAATTTTTTTTTCAGTACTTTACATGTTTTATTTACAATAGAGTTACATGACTAAAAACCATTGCACGCCTACTGAACATCACGTTCAGTAGGCGCGCAATGGTTTTTGAACGCATTGAACGTGATGGCGCAGCTATTGAAGGTGATGACGCGTGTGGTGTGGTTGGCTAGACATGCCTACTAATTCGGTCCAAATTTTAATTAATTAATAAAAAATGAATTAGGCATCCAATTAAGTCAAATTTAGTTTCAGATTGCATTGTCTTCATGTCTTGACCCACGTGCCAAGTGTGAATCGTATCGGTCAAGTAGAAGTTTCCGAATTTTCACTCCTGCGTTTCTATCTAGACAGACAGACTGTCGACAGAGGAAGTGAGTTAAATAAAAGCTTGTAAAAATGGATCTTGTCTCAAATACCTTTGTTTGTTTTCTATTTAAAAACAACTAAACTAATTAAGAGTGTTTTAAAATATCACTTTAAAGCTTCTTTTTAAACATAAAATTGAATAAGTTGTGCATAAAATTGAAAGGGTAAGAGAACTGTAGGATAATGAAATGGCATCCACTGTTTAAGTGACTATTGATAATACCATGCAAATGAATATATTTTACAGTAGCAACGTTATTTAGAGTGGTAAAAGACAGTTGACAAGTCCCGCACACAGTGGCGTAGCGAGGTAGGGTGTCACCCGGTGCGGCACTTAATGGTGTCCCCCCCCCAGAGGCATAGAGACCCTTCCCAGGGACAAACTTTCAAATTTTCGATTTGCACCCCCCCCCTTAAACTTTCGATTTGCATCCCCCCCCCCCTCAAGTTTTCGATTTGCACCCCCCCTCCTCAAACTTTCGATTTGCACCCCCCCTCGAGTTTTCGATTTGCACCCCCCCCCCCTCGAGTTTTTCTCTATATATTTTGCTATTTTTTGCCTTGGTGTCACCCCCCTAAATGGTGTCACCCGGTGCGGTCCTCACCCCCCGCCCCCCCCCCCTCGCTACGCCCCTGCCCGCACATAAAGTTATCCGTTGCCCAAACAATTCTAAAAATATTTCTGCTATAATTGATATTCACACTTAAGTAGGGGCGGCAGTTCTTGATTTCCATGGTGAGAATAAAGAAAAATATACGCAGTTTTTAAATCTCTGAACTTTCATGTAAATTTGTAAAATTTCTAAAAGGAATGAAAATAAAAAAAATCACTTGAAATTAAAATTAAATAATATTCAAAAGTCCAATAACTCAACTGCGCTTGCAAAAAGACAGCTGAAATAAAGCGGTAGTGATCTTCCCTAAACTTTCTCGAATATACTTATAAAACACTAACGGAGATAGCAGCTTGGGATATAAACATAATTTTAAATCAATTTTTTAAAATTACTTAATCTTTTTAAGAAAATAGAATAGAATCTAGTACAAAAAAGAACTGCGTACCAAGTAAACAACCAACAATGTGTGTTAAATAGTGCGCATTATTAGTAATTAACTAGAATACCCGTCATCCGTTGGATAGCTGTGGGTTTCGGGGGTCATCCATCAAAAAACATCACGTCTGTCACTCAGAGGCATAGCGGCCCTTCCCGGCGCCCGGGGACAAACTTTTCGATTTGAACCGCCCCCCCCCCACCCCCGCAAGATTTTGATTTGCAACCCCCCCCCCCCCCTCAAACTTTCGATGTGCAACCCCCCCCCCCCACTCAAACTTTCGATTTGCACCCCCCTCAACCTTTCAATTTATTTTTCCAAACCATTTTGGCGCCCCAACATATGTCCCCCCCCGCCCCCCTTCCCCCCTCCACCTCCCCTCCCGCCTCCCCTCCCGCCCCCTCCCCCTCCTCGCTACGCTACTGCAGTGTCACTTATCGTCACAAAAAACAGACCCCACATTCAAAAATATGTTTCTTATCTTTTAAAAACACCGAAAACACCGATTTCGGACTATCCCTTCATATACTGACGTCACATGTGACCTACTCAACTCTACTTCACCTGCCCAGTGTCCCGCCAAGTCTCAGACAACATGTTTTTATCGTTTAAAAAACGATTCCAGCCGAGCATGTCTCTGACCACACTATCCTTTCATATGCTTAGGACAAAGAAACAGATGAACTCTACTTCACCTGCCCTGTATCCTGCCAAGTTCAGATAGGCAACTTTATCATTCACATCTAAAAAAAAAATAATTGAAAAAAAAATATCATTGACATATTGGTCTAGAACCTGTGCCACCCGCATGAGACGTCACATGTGACCTACTCAACTCTACGTCACCTGCCCAGTGTCCCGCCAAGTCTCAGACATGTTTTTATCGTTTAAAAAACGATTCCAGCCGAGCATGTCTCTGACCAATCTATCTTTTCATATGCTTAGGACAAAGAAACAGATGAACTCTACTTCACCTGCCCTGTATCCTGCCAAGTTCAGATAGGCAACTTTATCATTCACATCTAAAAAAAAAAATTGAAAAAAAAATATCATTGACATATTGGTCTAGAACCTGTGCCACCCGCATGAGAGCGGACTACGCTACCAACTTAGCTATTTACTCGTGACGTCAAAAATGAATTTTTATACTATACTTTGAGTCTCTTTATGCAACTTGATTTACGCGCATAGATCTAGATCTAAGTCTAGTAGTAGTAACTTTCAAATTAAATTTTATCTTAAATTAGCCAAAC